CCGGCACCAGTGCCGGTACCTGGTGAACCTGCATCTGCTGCAGTTCCTGCGGGTGGGTGGCGATCCCCAATGGCTGCGCGGCCTCGACTTCATCCCCCCTAAACTCCGCAACCTCAACGAGATCAACAAGATCCTGGCACACCGGCCGTGGCTCATCACCAAGGAGCACATCGAGGTATCCGGGGGGCGTTTGCAGCTGAGGACTTGGGGTGGTGGTGGGGATGGCAGCGTCCCGACGGGGTGTGGGCTCCCTGCCCGCTTGCCTACGTCGTATCACTGGTCTGTCTGTGTCCTGCAGAAGCTGCTGAAAATCAGTGAGCGGAGCTGGTCGCTGGCAGAGCTGGTGCACGCCGTCGTCCTCCTGGCGCACTGCCACGCGCTCGCCAGCTTTGTCTTCGGCTGTGGCTGCGAGCAGGATGAGGGCCCGGGGGGCCGAGGTTCGCTGAAGCCCTTGTCGCCCGGGAACCAGTGCTTCTGCGAAGCCACCGCCAGCAACGGCTGCAGCCAGGAGCTGCTGCGCATCAACCGCAAGCGGGTGAGCCCCTGGGGGTGGGTCCGTGTGGGGTGAAGGGTGCAGCCGGGACTGCTGCCCTCACCCCCGAGCCTGTGTCTCTGCAGTCCCTGGACTCCTGCATGGAGCTGGATTCCCTCCGGGAACGCATGCAGCGGATCCACGTGGAGACCGAGGGCAGGGAGGAGATGAGGCTGCTGCAGCAAGACCGAGAGGAAGGTGAGGGGCAGGGGGCAGAGGTGGGTGTGCGGAATGGGAGTTCCTGTGGTGTACCTGGGTGTTGCTCCCCCATAGAACGGTTTGGGTTGGAAGGGACTTTAAAGCCCATCCAGTCCCATCCCCTTGCCGTGGGCAGGGACATCTTCCACTAGACCAGGTTGCTCAAAGCCTCATCCAGCCTGGCCTTGGACACTTCCAGGGATGGGGCATCCGCAGCTTCTCTGGAAAACCTGTGCCAGTGCCTCACCACCCTCTCGATGAAGCATTTTCTCTTGACATCCAAGCTAAGGCTACCCGCATTCAGTTTAAACCCGTTACCCCTTGTCCTGTCACTACAGGCCCTCGTCTGTCTGTGCTCATGTTTTCTGTGATGTAGGGTTGGGAGAGGGGCTCTTGGGAGGCTGGCAGGTGGGAAGATGGCAGTGGCACTTCCCAAAGAGGTGCAGCAAGACAGCTGATCATCGCTCAGACCCGTCCGCGGGGCTCTCCCCTCTCGCAGATGCTGATGGGGAAGTCACCGGTGCCACCAACCTTGCGTGCTACATGCAGGACCCTGACTTTGGATACCAGGATTTTGCCCGGCGCGATGAGGATCAGACGCAGGTATTCAGAGTCCAGGTGAGGTTCCTGCTCTCTCGGCCCGGGCTGCTGCCTCTCCTCCGCTCCTGGTGCGGAGTGGTCAGTTGCCAGGGAGCCCGTGCAGCCTGGATCTGGTGACAGCTGCTTCTGCAAAATGCCTGAGCAGGGAAGCTCAGCTCCTAGAAGCAACCCATCCCACTAGGGTTGGAGAGAGGGAGGTGACCAAGGGCTGCCAAGTTTTTCAAATCCCCCTCACAGAGGCAAGGGTCAAAATCATTCAAAAGCTGCCTGATGAGGGATGATGTGGTTTGGGGATGAGGCTCCCCCAGAGCAAACCTACTGAATTCTGCTGCGTCTTGAGTTCTCCAGCCCTTCTTTCTTCCTGGGAACGTGCCCCGGGCTCCCTTTTGCGGTGGCGAAAGCCTCTTGCTGTGCTCAGCAGGATTACTCCTGGGAAGACCATGGCTTCTCGCTGGTCAACCGGCTCTACTCGGACATCGGCTATCTCCTGGATGAGAAGTTTCGGATGGTGGACAGTCTGCAAAGCAGCGCCATGGCCAAGCGTCAGGGCTGCGAACCCTCCGTTTTCAAGCGTGGCATCTGGAACTACGTCCACTGCATGTTTGGCATTAGGTAGGGAAACCAACCTCAAGGTCCAGGAGGGAAAACCAAGCTGCCCCAGGCGGGAGGAGGGTAGGGCACTGGGACTGCCTGGCAGATGGGCTTGGAAAAAAGATGGCGTTGAATCACCTGCCTGGATGTTGGGCCAGGAAGGGAAGAGATGCTCAGCTTCTTTGGCCAGGGCAGGACACTTTGGGGATGGGGCTACAGTACCTGGTGGTCACTGCCGTGTGTCCCCCTGCCCCGTGGCTGTGCCATGCCCCGGGCAGACCACCGGCGAGGTGCTTTGCAGGGACACAGTGCTGGCCGTGACTCGCCCCTGTGCTCCCTGCAGGTACGACGACTACGACTACGCAGAAGTGAATCAGCTCCTGGAGCGAATGCTCAAAGTTTACATTAAAACTGTAACCTGCTACCCAGAGAAGACAAACCTAGAAATGTTTGACAGGTTCTGGAAGCAGTTCAAGCACAGTGAAAAGGTGGGACGGCTAGCCCCTGGCTCAGACTGGCTGCAGGGGGGCTGGGAGCAGGCAGGGACTGCAGGCTGAGGTGCCTCAAGGGGCGCATGGCAAACCTTTGAGCCACCAAACCAGTCCGAGGCAGGTGGCGGGGGGCAGAAATGAAAACTGGCTGTTGATAAGGAGTTGGGCTTAGTGTGGCGTGGGGCTGCCCGCAGCGTGAGGAGCACACGAGCCACCAGCAGTGTGAGGATCTCCATGGTTCCGTTGGTGTGTGGCTCCAGAAAAGCCCTTGGTCTGTCCGTAACTCGCAGGAGCGGCTGCTGTGAGCTGCAGGCACCGTGCCAGCCCCAGCCCGGCGTGCTGGTGTCGAGTGTGCCAGGGACTCCCCAGCACGTGGCTCTAGGAGGCAGCCACAGCCTCCAGGACCAGGAGAGGGAAAGCACAGCTGCTGGAAAAACGGGTGGCACTTTGTCCCATACCAACTCGCTAGCCTGGGTGAGGACTTGCTTGCACCACTGCAGCTGCCTGAACCTCTCTTGCTTCTCCTTTAGGTGCACGTGAACCTGCTCATCCTGGAAGCCCGCATGCAGGCAGAGCTGCTGTACGCGCTGCAGGCCATCACCCAGTACATGATCTCCTAGAGAGGGGGGAGCTGTGCTGCGGCAGGGCCGGGCAGCACCCTCTCTCCCTGGACTCGTGCCTGACCCATGGCACTGGGACGGACGGCGAGGGAGTACTCAATTTAGTTTACTTGACTGTCTTGTTCCCTTCCCCCCCTCCTCCTTGTGGGGCTCGCCGAGTGGCCCTGTTACGTGCAATTACCAAGCTGTGAGGCAAGTCCGTGCTGCTGAGATGTTGGTGTGATGCTGGAGACTTGAATGTGTCGAAGGAGGACTGCCAAAGATGCAGGGGGGGAGGGAGGTGGGAGGGCCCGGGGCCGGTTTAGAGGGATGCTCCCCCGTGAGCAGAAGCTCCTTGCCCATTGCTGCGGGAGCCTTGGCCGCTGTAGGGAGGGCAGAGGGGAGAGCTGGCTTCCTTCCCTGTGCTGCTGCACCTGCCCTGCATCGCGGGGGTGATGCATCTCGCTCGGGAACAGTGCCGGCAGCCCACGGGTGCAGTGCAGCATTCCGAGTTAACATGGTCGGGCAGGGAGGAGCGCTGGCTTCGAGCAAGGGTCCTTTCCGGGATGGAAAGGGGCTGCGCTTGCTGCCGACGTGTCCTGCCCTTTAGGTCTATGTGCCAAACCCCGCTGGGGTGGGCGAGCATCCACCCAGGCACACTCCAAACTGTGAAGCTCTTGCTGGCAGGGCATCTTAGCGCTCTGCTTTCTCTGACAGCGGGTTGAGAAGGGCTCTGACAGTGTTCGGGCTCTGGAGGGTTCTGCAGGGACCTTGTCCCAAAGCCCCTCCTCTGCCTCCCATCAGCGGAGGGGCAGCAGGAACAAGGGAGGCTCCTTGGGTTCATGTTGCTTGTGTCTCACCACCATGAAAGGGCTGAGGTCCTGTACCCAGTCACTTGCTGCTTCATGGCACGGTGGAGGAGCCCGTGGCCGGCACTGGCGAGCTACGGCAAGCTTCTCCTTGAACCTGGGCTGGGGAGATGCCCTGGGCTTGTCTCGGTTTGAACAGAGACAGCCCGTGCCCCAGCCTTGCCCCCTCCCCGGTGGGCAGGAGCATGCAGCACCGCTCCCCCCTGCCCATGCTGCAGCCCCTGGCTGGGGAGGTACGAGGGATCCAGCGCAGACTCCGAAGAGCAGCCGTGGAAGGGGAATGGGGCCACCCATGCTCTGTGGGAGCCTGAAGCAAGGGCAGCTGTGGAGTCAGCCCAGCACACGCTGCTTCAGTCAACCTGTTTACTGCATAAATGTACGGGGAGAAAACCTTGTGTATGGAAGCTACAGAAAAAGCCTATTTTTGCTATAAATATATTATGTTTGACATGCATGCGTGCTTTCTTTCTGCCAGATGTTGGGATGGGGATCCAGCCTTATAGGACAGCAGTACCTGGCTGACCACAGCCCCATGACAGTTCCAACTCTGGGAAACCCAGCATTCCTGTGGTGGGGTCCTATGCTGACAGCTCTGGCCCAGGCCAGCAGCTGGTCACTGACACGGTTCAGCTCAGCCGTGCCCTTTTCCCGTGCACAGATGAGCAACTCCCACAGTGTTGTTTGTTCATAGGAGGAAACAAGGATGGTTTTCAAGGGGGTGCAGTGCCCTAGGAGGTACCTGGCCATGGGTGGGTGAGGTGTGGGTGTTGCTTCTGCAGCTGAGAAAGAAGCATTTTGCTTGCACACACAAGCTGGTGGTCAGTGAACAAGGCCAGACACTACAACCAGCTCCTTCCCCACTGTATGGGCTGGAGAAACCTGCACTGGGCCAAGCTGGTGCCCAGGCGGTAAAATGCCAGGACAACTGCTGCTGGGACAGCTGGCACCAGGCTGAACTAGATGGTACTGGGACAGGCACTGCTGTACCATCATTTAGCCCCAGCAAGGGCTGGACACAGGTCAGGTCAGCAAGGTGTCCTGCTCACCGTCAGACACAGCACCCTGATCACAGCCTGCCTGCCTGCCAGCTGTTTTCCCTGCCTTTCCCCTTTCCCTGAAAAAGCAGCTCTGTTCCCTGCAAGGCTGGGACGAGCCACCTCAGCCAGTTCTCTGCAGGGCTCACTGCTCCTGAAGCAAGCAGCGCATCCATAGCTCCGTGCAGTCCAGGGCTGGGACCCTGCAGCAGCATCCTCATGGCCCACTGTCAGCCCATGCTGCTGAGGCGGAGAGAGAAGCAGGGCTGGTAGTAGGTAACTCAAGTATTGGGGATTTGCAGAACAAGCACCGATCACAGCAGCAAGATGAAGGGCTCCATGGGCTGTCAACCCTGACCAGAAACGAGCAAGCTGCTGGCAAGGTCAGGGCAGAATGCCAGCCTCAGCTTCCCAACAAGAAAACATCCCCACATGATCTCAGAGCTAGAAAGTGAGAGATGAAGCAATCATCTACTCCCACATCCCTGCAGAGCCAGCACTTACTACCCTGTCCCAAGTGGGTCTTGCAGCAGATAACTCAAGTATGGGGGATCATGTCACTGTAAGGGTCTCGCTGACCAGACACTTCAGAGCAGCCCTACAGCCACACCAGTAACTACAGCTTAGCTTTTGCAGCCCACAAGCTGGTCCTTCACCTTATCACACTCCCCACGCCCCCAACTCCGCTCCTCTCCTGCACCTGGCCAGGCTGCAAAGACGGTGTGCTCACCGACACACGGGCTTTGAGGCTCCCAGGGCAGGCTGGTGCAGGCACCACACTGTTTGAGCCAAGCAGACAACTGTAAGCCATGCAGCACACCAGGAATCTGCCAGCTTCAGTGCTTGGGACCCTGCCCTGGTGCCCTCTGCACCCTTCATCTGCTCAGAGCAGGAGATTCCTCTCTATGGCTCTGTGGCTGGATTGAGGAGAGCTACGAGAGCCCAGGGTACCTCTCCTCCGCAGGAACCCTCCAGTATGTCCAGCACACCCACGTGGGAGCCAGGCCACTGCGACCTTACCCGGAGCTGCCGAGGGGAGGATGCAGGCATACATCCAAAGCAGTCGCCAAGTTTCTTGCAGCAGCCTGTAGTGGAAAGGCCTGCTGGCAGGCAGCGCCAGGACTGATTTTGCAACAGCCAAGCTGTCCTCAAGCTGTTAGGTGGGTCCTAACCTGCAGAGAGCAGTAAGCTGTGCTGCAGCAATGGTTACTGTCACCCCTCCTACAACCCACCCAATTAAAAGCCAGGCCAATGGCCTTGGGTCTTGCTGCAGTAGTGGAGGGAGGAAAAAACAGTTCAAGGGAGCTGGGGACAGGCTGTCCTGCCAGGACAGCTCTGGAGCCAGCTAAGTGCACCCCACTGTCTCCCCATTCCCCAGCCTGCCCCCCCCATGCACTTGCTACTCCTCCCCAAAAGCCACGTGACGTAGGGCAGCAGAGTCCCCTGCTGCGCCTTCGCTCGTGCTCCCGTCACCGGTGGCACAGGAGAAGCGTTCATCACCCAGCGAGCATCCCGGGGAGAGCAGGTCTCTGGCCAGGAACTGTGCTGAGCAGAAAAGCTGGTGAATGTTTCTGCACTGGCTCCAGGTACTGCTGCTCCGCAAGCAGCTTCTCCACAGGCCAAAATGCCTACGGTGACAACTCGGGAGAGCTACGAGGTCTCCAAGACTGCAAGAAAGGCTGACCTGCTGCAAACAAGGTGCCCTGAACCCACGTAGCTGTTAGGACAGAACACAGCAGGACTCTCGGTGACCTCTGCAGACAATGTCACGCACATCAAAAGCGACCCTGAGCCAAGGCCCAGCCTGGCACCTATTCTGCGCTCTGCTCTCCTTGGCGATGCCCAAGCGTCACAGGGCATTGCTCAAATCGGCATGAAAAGCATTAACAGTTACCAGGAGAAATGCATGGACCCCTGTTCTACATCAAGTTTTGAAGGCCTCCACTCTGATCCAACCAACAACTGCAAAATCCACCCTGAGCGTTTTGTTTCTCCAACAGCATCTTCCATCATGCACCTGCAGGACAAGAAATATCCCAGAAACAGATAGTTCCCCCAAGGATCTCCTCCTAATTCCCCATTTTTGGAAACTGGCTTAAATCTTGAAGAAGGAGCCTCAAGATCACTTCCAGAGTTACTAGCATTAACTGTGTTAACACTGTTATTTAATAGTATTCTTTATTATTGAATTTGAGCATCTAAGGCTTTGGATGCAAATTTTCTGGCTGCAGACATACTGTGCAATATCATGGGCGAGATGTTTTCCTCAGTAGTTTTAAAAACATCCCCGACTGCTCTCCATGTTCCTAACCGGGCCAGCGCATCCCGTGCTCTACACTCCTTGCCCCCTTTCTCGCTGATCTCCTTACCTGTCTCCACGCTAAAGCAACATGACCAAGGCTCTGAACCAGCCTCATCTTCTCCGAGACCCTCCTGAGCACAGAGCACTCCCAGGGCAGCGGGAACAGCATGTTCTCCAGCCTCATCCCAGCTGTGAGAAGGCAGACCTGCCGGAATGACACCGTTTCGATTGGAGGGCTCCACCACTATCTTCACAAGCTCCTCACTGGCTCAGACTGTACCTGCATTTCTATTTGCATCAAGGAAAGACCCCTTAAGGTACCTAGCTGAAGCCTTCTCCTGCCCAGATGAGCCTCTTACCCACTTGCACACCTCCAAGCAGTCCCAAAGAATGGCCTTCACTGTGACATTCATGTCCCCTTCGATAGGCAGCGCCAAGCCATTATCTTCTAATATCAAACACGCCCCCCAGATGTAGCCACCTTCCTTTTTCATTGGAGGATTTGGGGTGTGCAAGTAAAGATAAAAGCTCACTCAGATGCTCATCTGTCCTGATCAAGTGTCTTGCGGATGGGGTGGCTGAAAGAAGAGAGTAGCAGCAAATCCATCTCTATTCCTAGAGATTACGGTAGAGTTGCTGACACTCAAAGATGTTTCAAGGTAGCTATATAAAACAAACAGTCATCTTCTGCACTCAGGTCTAGAAGGACACGGAAGGAAGGGACTAGGATGACTCTAAGATAGTCCTGCACAAGTTAAAACTCCCCAGGGTGAGTTTTAGGGCTCGGCAACCCCATGGGTCCCCACGCACTGCCAGCAAGTTGTAACAAGGGGCTCTACGTGCTGGAGCCTTTATGGGCTGTCACTGTGCAACCATTCCACCTCCGGTCTGCTAAGGGGCATTTCACAGCGAGGTTGCCCTAAGAGGTGAAGAGGGCAGAGGAAAGAAGTCAAGGGCAAGGAGAAAAATAACTGGTCCTCGCTGGTAAAACAGAACAAACCGCATGAGACAC